GGGGAGGATTTCTAAAACTAGAGGTGACGTTTTCAGAGAGCAAACTGCCAGCCTGCAGCCCCCCTTTCCCAAAACCCCCGACCTGGAATTTCCATCCCCGACGAGCCGAGGCATTCCCAGCATCGCCAGGGGGGTCTGGACACCCCCATTCCCGAGCATCTTCCCACCTCCACCTTCCACACCTCCCATCGCTTCCTCCCCCACCCTCTCCCTCTCCGCGGGCACCTTACCAAGGTTATTTCCACACTTGTTTTGGCACCAGGGTGTTGGTTTTCCCCTCTAAACCCGAAACCTCCTCCTTGCCGACCCTGAGCACGTAATTGCTGCTCGTGATCCCTCCTCGCAGCCTCCATTTTCCACTCCCCCTGTGCCCTGAAGGAGCACAGAATTCCTCCCTTTCCCCAGCACGGAGAGAAACCGCCCCGCTCCAAACCACCTGAATTAATTCCTCATTTCCCACATCCGCAGGGAGGAGAGGAAGGCTAAACAGAGTCAGGGCAAAATACCTACGAAGCCATTCGATGGCATAATTTAATATCGATATTATGGCCACAGCAGAAATGTTATTTCCGAGCAGAGGGATCGCAGCTCCAAGCCCGGGGAAGCGGCTCCTGGTGCCCGTCACCCCCGGGTTTTTGCCAGGGAACCCGTTTGTTCGGGGTGAAGCTCAGAGCTGGTTAATTAGCGCGACGCTAACGAGCCTTCGCCCTGTTTGTCAGAGCTCAGCTCTGCGAAGGCAATTAGAGGAGCAGGTCAGAGCTGCTGGGCTGGAACATCCTCCAGGGCTTTGCCATAACCTGTTTTCATCCGGGGGCTGATTTTTTCCCCCTTGGAACTCACTGTGGGGAGTGATACCTCGAAAAAAAAAAATTAAAAATTGCCATTTTGCTGTCTCTCCCCCCCCCATTTCCTGATTTTCACCCAGGTTTTGTTGTTTCTGCCGTGTCTTTCAGCTATTTTTAACCCCCTGATCTCATCCCTGCCCCCAGCGGGTGGGTGAGGAGGCAGCAAACCCACTCCAGAGAGGGTGGTTTGCACCCAGATTTTTCCATGAGCGGGCAGCCCAAGCCTGGAATTCCTCCCCATCGCCAGGGACAGGCTTGTGCATCTTCCCTGCTCTTTCGTTTAGGCCTTTTGCAAACGATCCCACCCAAACACAGACATTGAAAAGGCTTTAAATCAAACGTTTCTTGACATGAGACCAGATTTTAGAGAGTGTGGGGAGAAAAACATCATTATCTGAACCCAAGGAGAGATTAATTTGCTTTTTGTAGCCCATAAAACCATATCTAGGTCGCAACAGAAGAATTTCTGGTTTAAACAGTGGGTTGTTTGGCCTCTTTGGCTGTTAAGGGTGATATCTCAGGAGAGACCATCACCTCCTACTTGCATTAGGGTTATCCCTGGGGAAAGGGGTGAATTTTAAGGAAGTTGGTCCATTAGTTGCTGCAAAAAAAAAAAAAAAAAAGCATTTAGGACTTATATTTGATTGTTTCTTGCTGTAACATGAGCCAGAAAGCACATCCAAGGGTGCTGTGAAACACCCACCCACACTGAGAATGCTTCTCTCGCCCTACCCAGCATCCTGGCGTGGGATTTTGGGGGATAGCTCAGGCTCAGGAAGGATGGAAAAACTCTTTGCTGTGGTGCACTCACATATTAAACACGAGGGGAGCAGCAATTCGGTGCCCTTGGCTTTGCAGGGAGGCATCCAAAGGAATCCTGGAGGTGCTTTCCAAAGGATTTGCAGACCTGGTGTGTGTCATACAGGCTGGATTATACACATGGGGGAGAAATGGCTCGTTAAATTGGATTTCAGCCTTGCCAGCCCACCAGCTGATGTGGGAGATTCCTGGCACGTCCCTGCAATGCCAGCAGGAAACGCTGAGTAAGGGATAATTGCAAACATGTTAAACTCAAAAAATGTTGGTTTTCACTTCAGGCCTGTTGCACATTAACAGGGATTTGGGCAAAATACGCTGAATTCTGTTCCTTGGGAATATAAAACCCCTGGGGCCGGGCTGGGCGTTGCCCTCCTGGCAGCGCTGGGTACGCAGAAGCTTTTGGGATTGGGCTGGATCCGTTCATTGCATTGATCCTGGCACATCAGAAATCCCCTCTATGTCATCTGATTAGGCAGAGCAGGTTTGATAAGTGGGGTTTTACCTCCCAGTTAGTTGCAGTGGTTTTTTTTATTTCCAAAAGGTTTTTCTTTCACTGCTTAAAATTGCCATTACCTTCTGAAAACCCGTGGGGGGATATATATGTATAACAAAATAAATATATATATATAAAATATATGTATATTTTTGGGGGGAGGATTAATACTTTGGGGGAGAGATAAATATGCATTTAAGTGCAAAGCTGTTTGTTCTGCAGCCGGATTTGGGGGGATGGAGTGTGTTTTAGACGGTGTGGGAGCCAGGGGGTCTCTGCCTCCTGCCCTGACACTCCCTGTCCCTGTGTCCTCAGGTCCCACAGCCATGGCCAGGCTCCTGCTCACCTGCCTCTTGGTGGTCCTGCTCCTCGGCATCTGCACCGACGTCGCCTTCTCCAAGAAGGGCAAAGGCAAACCCGGCGGGGGCACGTGGGG